AAACATAAAAGAGTTGGTTTAGTTCTATTAATACAGCTTTATTTACTTTCCAATTTTATTTATATCTGAATACTTCGGTAGCGAGATGGCTCAACCGAATATAGGTTTCTAGGGACTATTAACGTTACCTAGTTGATCCTCTGATAAGCCAACCAGATGTGCCAGTCTAATGAAGGCTAAGTCGGTAATTCTTGATAGTGGCAAGTTATTGGTTAAGACAATAACTAAAGACGTCAAGAGTATTTCTATTTTTATTTTTATTTTTCTAAAGATAGGATTTTATGAGTCTATCGGATTCGCCCCAGAATAGAGCGACAACGAAACACTAAATACAATCATTTCGGCGGAAACATTACTGAGAGGATAATATATAGGCAATGTATCAGCCTCACAATCTCTCAGAGTATTGCTGTTTTCACGAGGCAAACCTAACTTTATTAAACGTCTCATTTCGTTTATTTATATCGATATTTACACGATATATAGAATTTACCTACGCGTTTATTTATTCTAAGGCATTAGTATCGCCTTTATTAGACCGAATCTTACACGTAGTAGTGCGCCTTGCTTTTTCCCTGTGAAAAGTTTTTCGTTAAAATCACGATCAATAAAAAAAAAATCCCAAATCCCTTATCAGAATCGATCCAATATTATAAAGAAACTGAATAGACATACGTAACAGAGGACGTTGATATATGTGGCGCATAAGTCGTCGGCATTTCCCTTAGGGGCGAATCCTTAACGGTGTCACTGATTTTGTCCGCTGAGTGCATCTTTGTTAGCCTTTTTGTGTGTGTGTTTGAGCAGGTGATTCACAACACCTGGAAATTAAATACACAATATATCACAAGCAACAATCTCAACATTGCAATCACAGAATATGTTCTTTAGCTAGAACTCTCGTTATCTTCCTTTAGCGTTCGTATACTTCGAAGGTTCTCTAGTTGATACGAATTGTCACTGTAAGGAAGTACAAGAAAATTTAAGCGAGAAAGCCACAAATGTTTATACAAAAGACATACGGGACGTTGTAGAGACTGATGAACACGCGCAGAATTGAATAAATGAACATATCACATACTCGCCATCGCAGGTGTTGATGCTATGGCCAGTTTCTCCACGCTTCGAGCACGTTGCAGTCTTCTAAAGTACATGATTCATAATACAATCATAGGTATCTATAGTCTTTTTGATGTAAATGATCGCTGGTACAATCATAATAAAAAGGTGTTTCATATCTTGGTCTTTGAAAGAGCACAGTATTTTTTTATTAAAACGGATCGAAACATAATTAGTTACCTACGAGATGACTTTTCATACCGTTTCTTCGGGCGCACGCTGGTCTCGGTGTAGGACAGGGAAGCAAGGATACTGCTTCATATTTTCAAAGTCAAGGGACATCTATTGTTCTGTGAAACTGGTTTGCAAGATGTAAGTTTCCACCCAAAACAATCGCGAATATTAACATTTGTTGTACAAGTTATACTCACTCGCGATATTGTTCACGTTAGATAATTTTGCAATCTGCACAAAACAATTAGCAGCATACTCGCAAGGGATACTTTCAGACACATGCAAACTACGGTTCTCACAATCTATGATTCTCCGAGAACGTACCAGCTTGACTGTTGCGAGTAGAAGTTTACATGGCAATCGAACCAATCTCAGCGGTATGGATACCACTTGAAGATTTCAGTTTGTATAAAAATGAACGCGTTGCCTCCCTGGGTTGTCTTTGTCCCGTTTTCCATTATGCGGAAAATATGAACATCAAAGTTTGTAGACAATGGACACTTGTTTCACGTTTTCAACATTATACAAAACATTTCAATATTAACATTCTGTGCTGTTTCCAGTAGTTTACAATACACTCGAACTTGGAGATTGTCGCTGAGATGATCACTTCTGCCCCGTTTCCACCGTTGTGGAGAACACTTGGATGCCAAGGTTTGTAGGTGATGGTCAATTTGTTTTTCAGGGATGTTACTGGATAAAGTTCAATAATTTCGATATGGACACATATATCCCGTATTCAGCATTATGCTGAAGATTCGGGAACTATGGACATGTCCTGTTTTTCAGCATTATGAATACCTCTTGAAGGTTACGGCTTGTATAGAAAAGAAAACTTCGCGTATCTGGGTTCAATATATCACGTTTCTCAATATGCGGAAAATCTGAATATCAAAGTTTGTAGACAATGGACACGTGTCACAATTTTAACTTCATGCAAAACACTTCAATATGTACACTTCTGTCCGGTTTTGAGTAATATGCAAAACGCTGTCACTGATTGGATGCAACATGGATACTACTGTCCCGGTTTTAGCATTGTGAAGAATACTTGAATGTTAAGGTTGGTGAATGATGGACAATTTATGTCCAAGGGTTGTCATTGAACAAATTTATTTGATTGCGATATTGACATATATGTCCCATATTCAGTATTACGCTGATAGTTTTGATATCAAGGTTCGGCCATATTGAAGTGTTTGCACGATGTTGAAAACGTGACACAAGTGTCCATTGTCTACAAACCTTGGTATTCAAATGTTTCACATCATGCTGAAAACAGGACATAGACAACCCCGGGACACAATGAGACTATTTTTCTGCAAACCTTCACCTTCAAGTGATATCCATAATGTTGAAGAATATGATATGTTTATAGTTCCGGAACCTTAACTCAACTTTTCCGGGTAGTGCTGAAATTGCGACTTGAATGTTGTTCCTGAACACCTGTATTCAAATTATCTGATCAATTCTAAAAACAGGACACAAGTGCCCATATTGAAATGGAAACGGGCACTAGTGTTCATATTTTAATCTATCAGCGAAAACTTCAATGCTCGAGTGTTTTCCATATGACTGAAAACCGGATAAGAGTGTCCATATTGAAGTGTTTTGTATAAAATTGAAAACGTGGCACAAGTATCCATGGTCTACAAACCTTGATATTCAAATTTTCCGCACATTGCTGAAAACGCGATATAGCCAATGTGCAAACAACTTTCTAGTGGTTTCTGAAATGCTGAAAAACAGTTATTTATAGTTTTGGACTTTGCGTCCCAAGTTCTGCAATACGCGGGCAATTTTAATTTAAAGTTCGGGAGCTGTAGAGACTGAAATTCTATATTTTAGCATTTAAAAGATACTGTTTGTAGAAATTTGGATGAGCAATTTGCCTTCCGGTATTGTCGCTGAATACATAGTTCCTGTTTTTAGAAAATCTATGTTCGGAACTATGACAATATGAAAACTACTTGAATGCCAAGGTTAGAAGAGATGTGGACACTTTGTGTCTCGAAACTGTCGCTGAATGAATTTAAATGGTTTTAATACGGTCACCTGCGTCCCGTTTTCAGTACTATGCAGAAAAATGGAAAATCAAGGTTCTGAATTTTGGTCACTTCTGTCTCGTTTTTAGCAATATAAAAAACACTTGAATGTCCATGGTTGTAGAAACATGGTCACTTTGTGTCCCGGGGTTCTCAACGAATGTTTCTAAATAATTGTATTACGTACACTTATGTCTACGGATCCTTTGTGTTCCGGGGTTGTCGATGAATCGATTTGTATTATTGCAATTTGTACATGGACACTTTTGCCATGTTTACAGAATAATGCAGAAATTTCAGAATCACGGTTGTAAAATATGGACAATTATGTCTCGTTTTCAGCATTATGAAAAACAGTTGAATGCCAAGACTTGTATATATTTGAACGCTTATGTCCACGGATTGCCATGGAATGACTGCAATATGGAGACTTATGGCTCGTTTTGAGTATTATGTGGAGTATTTCTATGGCAATGTTTGTTGAATATGGATACCTATGCTCCGTTTCCAGCAATACAGAAAACACTCGAATGTCATGGTTTGTTGAAATATGGACACTTCGTGTCACGGACTTATCGCTGATTGTATTTAAATGATTGCAATAGAAACACTTAACAAAACAATTGAATGTCAAGGTTTGTGAAAAATGTATAGCCATGTCCTGTTTTCAGCAATACGAAAAATACTTGAATGTCAAGGGTTGTAGAAATGTGGACGCTTACTTGACGTTGTAATCATCATGAAAGACTACGGACGCGTTTGGCTCGTTTTCAGCAATATGCACAACGCTGGAACGTTGAAATTTGTCGCTATATGATTGGAAAATGGGCACATATGTTTTATCATTTCGCAGGGATTTGAAAATCAAAGCTGGGGAATTGGTTGAATATCAAGGTTTGTAAAACATTAAATCCTGGTCCATGTCCAGTATATATTCCTGATAGTAGAAAAGCGGGAACACAGGCTACTTACCGGGGTATCTCGTGAGAGAAACACAAGTAAAAATCTGAAAAAAACAAGCAAAATTCAATACGCTCACTAGTATCAATTCAAGAAGAATTCATATTCTAAAGCTGGACGCTTCTGTGGCCTGTTAAACTTCATCCGTTCGCTCTGTTCGCGGCAGTGGTGGTGCCGCTCATTGGATTCATTGCATCGATGGTGTCGGCAATATCTTGACTGGTTTTACCCAACCCGCCTCGGTATTTATTCGTGCACTGCCGTTTGTGTTGGTTTGTATACAATGGAACAACTGTCCGTTTCTACGCAGCACTACTTGTTCTATGCTGATGATCTGGTTACTTTACTGTGAACAGTGTTTATGACTCACACAAAGTGAATCAACTGAGACGTGCACGTTTTTAGCTGCAGCTATAGCACTCGTGATCATACGAAAAGAGCATTCTACTATTTTCGTTGATATGACCTGACCTAATCTAATATGTGTACTGCTATTTGTCCAGTCAATTGTTGTTCTAAGATGCGAGCTACTATGTGAATGTAATATGCAAAGTACTTAACTTGCCACGAGTCTTATATACTTTTCAGCTAGTTGTATTGAACGCGTGTTTACAATAAGGAGGAGCGTCTGTGGTGCGAGAAGCGTGCGCGTGGTACATTGCGTGTAAATTTGTTTCTGTATATCTGCATTTTTACGCGAAACTAGCTCGCTGACTGAGATATGAACGCAATACTATTTCCAAGTTGTAGCCAAGCAAGTACTGTTCCATTCAAGTTATTTAGGTCCTCACACCCCATTAACGGAAAGAGGACCACAACTTTTATCGTAGAATTCCATAGGCGAAACAGCTTTTGTCTCCTGCGATTTTGATCTTAGAAATTGGACAATGAATACAGTTATTCAAATGGTGCAGTTACTTGAACAAGGCCACTTCAACAAAATACTTTAACCGATTGGAACCGCCCTACTTTACTTAGAGTATTATATGGTGGTAAAAATTCGATTGTGTTATGCATACAATGCACACACCGCTTTAATTCCAATTTATGATACTATTATCTAGGAGTTGTTTGCTGTACGAACTTACGCGAAGTTTTGATAGATACTGCCGAAATTATCGGCGGAAAGAAGAATTTTAAATGTCGCGACGAAGCTCAAGAGCCCACCAACTAGTACTGGTACAAGCACTGTACCACAAAAACAGGATGCAAAGAGGGGGTTTAAATAAGAAAGTATTAATGAGAAATTGATATGAATCACAAATGTTGATATATTACACAGTGTGCCAATGCGTTAATCAGATTGGCGGCGCAGCGACTGATAAACGAACTCACGGTCAAGGAGCCACCATTGTTGTGCCACACTTGTGATGAACGAGTAGCTGGTAGTAATGGCTCATATGTGCATATTATTGCCGTGCAGACACATGAGTGATTGATTATTGTCTTTCACACACACCACACAAATCTTCGAACCCAGTCAACGAGCACATACACACCTTTCTTCTGCTCATGTTCAATTATGTACTCGAAATCTGGAAATCCCAACGCGTTACAGAAAGCATGGCAGAACAAGGGGGCGGCGAAATGACCAGTCTTGAGAAACACGTATGCGGAGTACAGTCCGAACGCAGATGTGTAGGAAAACTGCACAGCTGTGTGGGTAGGGGTGGGTAGTCGAATGCGAGATCTTTTAAGATGTTGTAGCGCTGCTGAGCCCATAAGTTTCTATGATACAATTGACCCAATCCTTGACTCGGCAGTCTTTTTGAGAAACGATCAACAATGCCGTTTTGCGCGGGTGCAATTAATGCAAGGGACCGT